AAATGTACCATGAGTGTTTGACAGCTCAATGCTTATGATAAACATTTCCATGATCTTTCAGTTCTTCAATATTTAAACTACCCGGTAGTGAGTCCACTGGACGGAATTCTGCCTGCAACATCACCAGGTCACTAAAGCGAAGCAGAAAAAGGCGGAGATGAATAATGATGGAGGCCACAAAAGATGGCTTTGACATGAGCACTGCAATATCCTATTTGCTTAGAGTCCAGGTACCCTGCCCATTTCATTCTAGTGCAACTTAACCTATTGCAGTCGCTCTTGCTGTTTTTGTTTTCAGATCGCTATAATCCAGACGAAGTCAGTCTTGGTGATCAGGGCATGAGTCCAAACCACCAGGAGATGTTGCCATCAGCCGGTAAGAAAAAGGCTTGAACAGTATACTCAACACAATAGTATCGCTAGTAGATCAGTTCACAGTTGGCAGCAGCAAAGTTCAGACTCGGGTTGTACACGTCCCGTGTGTGCTGGCGATAGTATTCTTGCATGGATGGGTGGCAATGCATAGCCTGCACCACCCTACACTTCGAGATGTAAGGTAGTAGCATCATGTTGTGGATGTGTCACAGTTGTAGTGCCGAGGTTGTGATCGATACATTCCTCTATCTCAGGCACCACCGTTGAACTGTCATTCAGGAATACTCTGAGTTTATGGACGGGTTCCAAAAGAGACACGCGGCCATAGTGAATAGTGAACTGAGGACACTGACGAGAAGATGTGTGCATGGGCGCGGCTGTAAGACAGTACACATGCTGTTACCACGATGACATAACCATGATGTCATAACCATAATGACAGAATCATAATGGCACAGCCATGATGACAGGATCGTAATGACAGAATTATATAGACTGAGAACGAATGCATGCAACACACATTTAGAACAAATGCATGCAACTACTTTGTCCTTGTCTTGTTTTCTGTCATTGCTGCAGTGGAGAATAGTAGCTTCAACGACTCGCCAACAATTCTTCGGCGATTGCATTGCCCACCCGATGCCAGCGACTACAGTGATATGGCTCTTATGGATCGAGAGCCACCCACCGTCTACATAAGCTACAGTCGGCGGCAGGACGAGCTGGAAGCCATTCTGAACTTCTGTTACTGGTTGCACCTGAAGAACATCAACGTCATCATTGACCAGTGGTTCAAGAACGAGGTAGCTGAGGACATTGCCGGCTGGATTCAGAGCAAGGTGGCGATGTGTGACTATGTCATCAGCATCTGCTCGGTCTCCTACAACCAGGCCTGGACGCAGAACCCCGGGACGCAGGGACCGGATGACCTGCGTAGCATTCTCAGCGAGGACTTTGAGAGCGACCTGAAGAAACGCCAGTACCTGGAGACAATGCTCATCAATGGTCAGTTGATGCGGAATGGGCGTCGCAACAAAGGGATCATTCCTGTAGTACTTGTCGATGAACACCTGGATGGTTTCTCCTTCTGGCAGCACATTCCCGACCCGTTCACAAATTCCAAGGTATACTGCATCACCGAGACTGACCAATGTCAAGATGCTCTAGAGTTGCTGTGCCGCTTGTATGGCGTTGAACATACGCCAGGCCCGCGCCGCTTTCAGGGCCCTGCCGCCGCCCAGAAGCGCCACTCATCGACCAACACGGACACGACCAGCATAGGCAGTCAGTCAACCGGCCAGTCCACGGTTTCCACGACATCAGCCGAGAGCTACCCGGAGGCTGACCCTGCCCCAGCATCAGCAGTAGCAGCAGTAGCAGCAGCAGCAGAAAAGTATGCTGAGCAGCAGCAGCAGCAGCAGCAACAACATTGTCCCATTGTCCTTGCTGGTAGTAGGTAGCCCAGGCTAGATTGGAAGAAACACATATTTACTGTTAGGCATTTTGCGAAGAGCACTTGAAGGCTTGAGAATCTATGATGAAATCTCACAATTAACGCTAAATTTACTAGACTTGATGAGACCACTGCCTCCCCGACCTCCCCAAATTGCCACGAATCCAAGTTCACAAATTTCCACTTCAATCTGAAGGTGCAATGCCCCCCCATTCCCTTGAAACGTTGGTGAAACTGCTCCTCTCCACATACATGTACTCCACCCGATGACTACAAACATATATAAATATATCTAAGCAGTAATGTGAAGGCAGGCCAGGCACCACCGGTCAATAGCCTACGCCAGGACAGAGTAATCCAGCATCAACTTGTCTTCATCACTGCCGAGACTGAATGGTCATATTCCGCCCAGACCCCTCTGCCACTACCACCACCTGCACCATCACCTTCACCACCGTACGGCTAACCTTCACTTGTGCCATCGCTACCATCATCACTACCATCATACTACTATTCTAGTGTTCTAGTAGCACTGGCTTTGCCACAGTCTATCCTCAGCAATAGCCTGTCTCAAACAATGGCCACCTACCACTGATGCCGGCCCCTTCGTTGTTGACCGCACAGGCATTATGGCAGGTGGTGTGCAGCCTGTGCGCCTGAATGACAGACTATTGCGATGATAGTTAGCAGTTGAGCAGTATCAGTGACTCCTCACTTGTGGTGCGATCCGATTTCTCTTTAGTTGGCACTGCGAACAACCACACCCTAATGTCGAGTGGTCCACATGTTATTCAGTATCACACAATGTCTATGTGAAAATGTATATCATTTGAGCACCGTATCTTTGTGAATGGTGAAGACACGAAGTGATATAACAACACACAATGCGCGGCGGCTCTTCTGTCAGCCTGCATTCATGGTGTCCGCACAGCCTACCGCAGGGTGCACATCTGAGACTAGGGTCGGGAGTTGGACTTGAATTTCAAAAATTCCTCTTTATGACCTTTTGCCAACAACTTGACTTGCCCGACCGATGCAATGTGGTGCAGCGGTGGTCCTGGTGTATTATGGAGTATGCTCAGCATCTTCTGAGCAATGAACACGCCACAAATTTCAACTTGATATTGCGCTAAAATCAAGGCGGAATGTGATGAATAATTTAAATGATGCAATATAATTATGCCAATTGCAATGATCCTGCAGTATATTTCAAAATAATTTTGACTAGTATGTTCATGTGGGCAGCAGAACCCAGAATCAGCTTCAGATACAACACCAGGTGCACTTCATTGGTTTGAGGAAAAAAATGCAAACGGGAAAAGTCTGAAGAAAAACTATAAAATCTGATTTTTAACATGGGTCAAGGAGCCAGGCATTGCGATCATTAGGACAAGTACACCAATACCAGGTGTATGGGTGTAGTACTGCTTTACAAGCAATTCACGCACTGACTGTATGCACCTTTCAGAACCTTCCATCCCGCTTTGCGGGCATTTTGGAGACCAGGTCTAGCCTAGCCTGGTGGCTGCTTTGCTTCCACATATTGTGATTTCAGGGCTACACGCCTGGGACAGACTTGACAAAGTGTGCACGCAAGTCGAGGCACACCAATGGACAGCTCACACTATCGTAATGCTGCCATCATGGTGCCATCATACTGCCATCATAACGCCTTTGTGCTGCCTGTATGCTATGATTGACAGGCGAGGCAGACTGTGACGCTGCTCTCAGGAAGAAAACTGTTCACTGACGCGCAGGGAGGACTGCCCTTCAACAAGAAAATATGGCCAGGGATCCAGAGTCAGCATCGTTACACGCTGGTACCAAATTCTGAGTTTGTGTCCACATGCGTATCCGTACGTGACGTTGCACTGCTAGAGTTGCAGCCACTCCCAACTGACCTCTGTCCAGGGTCAGCAGCTGAATCAGCTTCTTCTTCCCCATCATCATCATCATTTGGAACAGCCTCATCATCATCATCAGCAGCAGCAGCAGCAACAGCAGCAGCAGCAGCAGCAGGAGCAGCAGCAGCATCTTCTTCCTCCTCATCATCATCAGGAGCAGGAACAGGGACAGGTACAGAAGCACCAGGTGGTAGATGGCATCCATCGCCAGGGCGTGATAGTGGCAATTGCTCATGGGGCAAGCGAGTACTTTGAGCATCTTGAATGCTGATGTCTGCGCTGGAAATACAATACTGTGCTTGGTTACTTGATATGAACCCAGCAATAGCATCGTATATCGACTCTGCCAGATCATCTGCATGTTCACTATGCTGAGGAGGCCACGTATCACCTTCGTACCCAATCGTCAGACTCAGCCCTAGATCACGGATATCTTGACATGTGAGTACTTCTTGGCAGGAATCTTTCGGGTGAATGATTACTGTGATACAAAGACGTTCGGGATTCTTTCTATAGCAGCGCATCAGTGCAGGAGGTTGGCTCCATGCTTCTCTGCAGCCAGGACTGACTGGCACTAAGAATATGTCCAGCGGTCTCAGGCGCATCGAGGCCCTTCCCTGCACTTCTTCTGACAATCCCTCCAGGCGTTTTGCCAAGGTGGCATCCGCAAACTCCATGAGTCTGCCATGGTACTCCTGCCCGTCAACTGACCATTTATCTCCATGAAATGTTACAAGAAAGTTGCCAATGACCGCTGTGGGCTTGATCATCACTTCCGTCAATAGATAGTCAGATTGGATGCGCATTTGGTAGGTAGCTGTGGGCCAAGCAAAGCAAGAAAGCAAACAGTTTCAACACGAATTTGCAATACTGAGTCCAATACTGAGTCTAAAGATGTGTGCTGAAAACTAGGTTGACTGCAGTCACCTCACACTACAGTCCATTCATAAAAAGATGATAGTCTTGCTTTTGGCCATAAATGAGTCAAATGTTGAAAATTTTGTATGGAATGGTCTTCCAAACTTGTTTCTGAAGTCCATTTCGAGAAAATGCAAGCGGTAACAAGAATAGGATTTCGGCCAGGTTTTGGCCCAAAACCTGGTTGGTGGATCTGTTCTATACTCCCCCGCCGTTTAGGAGCTTCGTCTGACGCCTGATGAAGGAGTGGTGGCGTCCCAGGGAAGCGGAACGGTGTTTCTTGACCTGCCCTGTATGCAAACCCGTGCAATCTTGCTTTTGCCCCAAAAGCACTGGATTGGGAAAAGCCACATAAGTCCAGGTCGCTCGACTCAACACGCAAGGGTATATGCAATATTATAAATGTAGTGTGGTTCGAATCCCAGTTCAGGCATCGTTTTGTATCCTTTTTAAAGTTCCAAAATTCGCTGCACTGAAACGTGTACAAAAAACCCCCAAAAAACCCCGGTGCGGGAGCTCACCAGAGCCAGAGATCATCTTTTCAATGAATGGACTGTAGTAATCTATGAATACACCGATTTCACTACGGTACCAAGTACTGTACATTTACTAGCTGGACTACTGGCATCCTCTGCCTGGCAGAGAGAAACAGGAGGGGGAGGGTAGAGGGTAGGAAAACAGAGAAACACTGGGAGGGTAGAAGAGGTCGGAAGGTAGGCCCAAGCATGGTGCAGAAAGAGGATGGGAGGGAGGAATAGACAAAAGGGAAAGAGGCCGTTTCAACACCCTCAGCTGTTGAAGCAAAGAGGAAGGCAGATAGAAAGAAGTAGCTTTACGACGCTTCTTTGATCACATGCTTACGTTTATCTGAGGGCTGGAGCTCAAGTAGTTTTGTTGTAAAATGGTTGATCACATCTGCACCAGGTGCACGTTTGTTTTCGTAGTCCAGCCAGAAGATGTCCGGGTGTTTGTCATCGTCCAAGAAGAGCTCCTGGCACTTGGGTCCCATTTCATCTTGATCATGATCCAGTATGACCAGCACATCGCTGGGTGCGTCTGGCGCTTGCCGACAAGCAAGTAAGTATTCATACAGGTGCTGACGGTCTATTTTGTCACTCTGCGGTAGCAGCTGTATATAGGGCTTAACCAGGTCTTCCGATGCAAAGACGATGGGGATTTCCGAGACATTCCATTGCCACACACACTCATGGCTCATTCGCTTGACGATGGCTTTGTTCGCCTCTGACTTGAAGGCCTTCACGTTCTTCATGGAGGGGTGGTAGATGTACGTCAGATACACAGTTCTGCCCATAGAAGTTACGATCTGATCTTTGCAGGAGGCAATAGCGAGGGGTTGCTTGCGTGCTGCACAAGGACAAGATCAACAAGTACATGAGGTCAAGGTATGAGTGTATCCACACAAAGACCGAATCTAGTGTATCCACACAAAGACCGAATCTAGTCTGCTCCACTCTCACCGTTTCAGAGACGGTTAACTTCTATTCCACCGACATAATTGTTTAGATTAGTTACAAAATTTTTAAAGTTGTCTGTGTTATAGTTTTATAAAGTAAATGTTGCTACTGCTCTAAAGGTCCATACCTCTCCACACTATAGGAATACCCTACCTACTGCTCTGATGGTACATACCTCTCCACACTATAGCCTGATAGGAATACCCTACTGCTCTGATGGTACATACCTCTAAACAGGCAGCAGCAGACAACAGTTACTATAGCCAGAGCCAGAGCAGCTACAGGGAGGTAAACGAATACGGGAGTCTGCCATCCCGTGTTGTCCACCTGTTTGACACAGCCCGGCATCTCTGTGCAGAAAAGAAAGATGGAGGATGCCAGTACACGCATAAAACCTTCGTATGAAGAACAAAACGAACTTATCTCAGTTCCAAGAGCCGCTTCCATTTTGCTGGCGTGCAATCATTTCCAAACAAAATTGCGAGCCTGGCGACTACATAATGATAATGCTCGTAGTGTGAATTGATGGCTGCAAAGGCGTCAGCAATACAGGAAATGTTTGGACTTTTCTAGTGCATTCAAAGCCATTATAGTAATGTACAGTTATGTACAGCGATGAACACACAAAATTGTACTTGTACTATCGTACTTCACCGGGTAACGGTCACTGTCCAGTTTGATTCGCACCAGTCTATTTCCAGTCTATTTCCAGTCTATTTCCAGTCTATTTCCAGTCTATTTCCAGTCTATTTCCAGTCTATTTCCAGTCTATTTCCACGTCTCCATCGCGTGCTTTCAATATAACGACTTGCGTAAAAAAAACCCATACTCGATTAGATGTGGCAACCCCTTCTACTTATGTTGTGTCTCCTAGAAAGTTGTTTACCTCTTTTGCCCTTGAAGTTTGATGCAAGGAAGTGGGACTTCTATTTATGTGATGTTATCTGTATGATGTTATCTGTATTTTACTTCACCATAATGTACAGGTATTGCTGCCTTCTTGCTGTGGATCATGATTGATGCGCGCAGGTTATGATGAACTTTGAAGGGAATGCTACAGTACATGCGTGGTGTTGTACGACTGTGGGAGCACGACATTGTTTGTTTCTTTTATTTGAATTCGTTTAGAGCACAGGCAATTCCGAGGCTGCCTTCTCACCAGAGGAAAAACCTCCGGTTCCTGCTCAGAACGAATATAGTGCATGTGCCAACAAACAAGCATAGTTAAAAACGGTATATAGTGCAGGGTGACTCTAGGAATGCAAACGCTCACTCCAGAACAAGGCTTAGCAAAACATACTTCTTTCTCTATCTTAGCGTTTAGACCGTCAACAATTCTCGTTTTACAAAGTTACAACCCAGACACCTGACCATAAATAGCTGCTCTTTCTCACTCACATGCTTGTACCACACACACACACACACACACACACACACACACACACACACACACACACACACACACACACACACACACACACACACACACACACACACACCTGCACACACCTGCACACACACCTGCACACACACCTGCACACACACCTGCACACACACCTGCACACACACCTGCACACACACCTGCACACACACACCTGCACACACACCTGCACACTCCTACACATACTCTTATACACACTCCTACACACACCTGCACACACACACACACACCTGCACACACACACACACACACACACACACACACACACACACACACACACACACACACACACACACACACACACACACACACACACACCTTGGACCTTGGACCTTGGACGCGCTGCCATATTCTGGCTATGCGGACCCCATGGGGGGTTGAGCAGGTTCGGAACAGTAGGGGCGATGACGGGATAGGTCCTGTGGTCTACTGAAACGCCGACCGCAATTGCAAACGATACAGAAGGAGCTACGGTCTGTGTTGGTTGCTCTGGCCGAGCCACGGCTGCACTTGTGACGTTTCATGCCTTGGCGCGATAGCACACAGCGGTTGCAGCGGGCGCAGTGGAAACTGCAGCGTTCGCAGGACATATTGTTTGTAACCGGTGACTCAAGTGTGTCAGAAGATGCCTCTGCTGGTGATGTTGGTGGCGAGCACTTGTGTCGGGCAAATCCACCCTTGCTCCGGAACCATCTGTCGCACTGATCGCAGTGACAGCTTCCTGGCTGTTGGCTTACGGGTAGGGCACGCGTAGCTGTACACTTGTGTCGCTTCCTGTCACTTACACGACTGAAGGAGCGGTGACAAGTTTGGCACACAACCGGTGATGGTCGAGGTCTGTTCTGCTTGTCTGGCAGACAACGGTAAGCCTGGCGCCATTTGGAGCGAGAAGAGGTGGCCACTTCATACCAGTCGTCAAGTGGTTTGACGTCACTCCGAACACAGTCTCGCCACCTTTTCCGCGGACCATGGGCAGGTCTCTTGTTTGGAAACGAACCGAACAGTAGAGCCTTCGGGATGCGCTCATCCTCCATCCTTGCCACATGACCAAGCCACTCAAGGCGACGTCTGCTGAGACGACACTCCATGTCCAAGGTATCTCCCCAGCGCTCCAGAACTTCAACATTAGTTATCCTGTCATTCCATACATCTTGACGACTGATGCCCAGAATGGTGCGGACACAACGGAGATGAAAGACAGACAACGCATGAACATCAGCCTGTAGCGGTACCCAGCATTCGGACCCATAGAGCAGAGTCGACAGCACACAAGCATTGTACACTGACCGTTTGATGGATATTGTCAGTGTTACATCGTGGAATATCGATTTCTTCAGAGCGCCAAACGCTTTGGCAGCTTGTGCAATCCGGGATGTGACATCATCATGACATCGGCCGTTGCTGTGTATGTTGGATCCAAGGTAACGAAAAGACGACACATGGGCAATCTCCATAGTTCGAATCGCGAGCGGCTCTAGATCGTCGTTAGAGATGTTGGGGCCAGAGACCATGAACTTGGTTTTGGTGGCACTGACGGTGAGGCCAAAATCGCTGCATACATCCACAAATACCTCCAAGGCTGAAACTGCGGCCTGGCGTGTCGCGGCCACAAGAGCGGAATCATCAGCAAACTGACACTCTGTCAGCTCCAGCACACACACACACACACACACACACACCTGGTCCTGATAAACACTGCCATTACGGTCATGTATCCCCTTGAGAGGCCGACAACTTGGAAGCGACGAGAGACGGCAGAAAGTCGGCAGTCTGCCGAGAGATCAGGGACCATGTTCAATCGGCACGACGAGAGAGCCATCTTTGGCAGCTATGGATTTGGAATCCACGAGTAGAGCGGCAGCACCGACCACAGGCCCCACAGTGGGCCTTGCAGCATGAGAGGGCGAGCCGCACACGCGGCGGCGGAGGAGTCGCCTGAGCAGCAATGGTAGACACCGCCGCCCGGCACGGAGCCTGAGACGATGTCGCGGGGAGAGTCCGGGAGTTGGGGCACTTGTGGACCGCAAAACCTCCGGCACTGCGGAACCAGCGCTCTCAGGAAGAACATTGTCGGCTACCTCTCTATTCCGATGCAGGTTTGCAGCGCTCATCGAGGCATTTATGACAAGGCAAACCACTCCTGGAGAAGAGACAACCACACTCGGCACAAGGTATCCGCAGGGGCTCACAAACGGGTTCGGGCGCCACGGGGACAGAACATTGTAAGCGACCCGCCATTCCCGCCTATCCTCGGCCAAGTCGTACCATTCGTCGATGCTCAACGCTGCCAGATCCCTCCACGCAGCATCGCGACACACACACACACACACCTTGACCTTGATCTTGCCCATTGCGTACGCAATGATAGCGAATGTCGGAAAGTTCAAGTGAGAACACGAGCGCAGAACTTGGCATGTCGTTTCAGGTCTCCTGGTTGACGAAACAGGCGTCCACAGACACAGAGAAGTGGACCAGGAGCGGGCCGTGGCGTTTGAGTGCTACTCGCAACTCGTCTCCAGCCGGGACGATCTTGGCAACTCTCAAGCCAGGTGGTTACGCCGAGGTCCGCCAGGTCAGTCGACACCACATCTCGCCACCTTTTCTTCGGGCTGTGACGAGGACGGGGGCAGGCATTTCGCCGAACAGCAATTGCTTTGGTGCGCGCGAGTTGTCCATCCTGCCGACATGACCCAGCCAACGAAGCCGGTGGCGACGGATGATGCTGGTGATGTCAGGGTCAACACCGAATGTAGCCGCTAATGTGGCCGTTGAGATCCGATCATCCCACTGTTGACGACGGCCAATACCCACGATGGACCGAACACACTGATGGTGAAACGTGTTTAGCTTCTTGAGGTGGCCTGCCTTGGTGGTCCACGTCTCCGCACCATACAAGGGGGTCGTGAGGATGCCAGCCTCATAGACACGACTCTTGCTGCGAAGCGACAGGGTCTTGTTATCAAAAGCATGAGCTTTGAGGGCTCCGAACACAGCTGAGGCTTTCGCAAGGCACACACACACACACACACACACACACACACACACACACACACACACACACACACACACACACACACACACACACACACACACACACACACACACACACACACACACACACACACACACACACACACACACACACACACACACACACACACACACACACACACTACTACTACTACAGTGCATTTCAAAACTATAGACGCGTAGGGTTTTTGAAATATTTCAAATTTGGCTGGAACTTTTTGAGAATAGTTTTCGGAATATTGCTCAGGACCGCTCCACAATTACTCTCATATAGTTTCTAAAGGATTGGATAACAGACGCCCAATTTGGAAAAATTTATGCACAAAGTGATCACAGATTTTATGTGGTATAGATGCTGGCATAACGGTTTGTGCCTAAGTACGCGTCTATAGTTTTGAAATGTACTGTATGTACAACTGCCACAAAATGACTATGTCGCTCCCAGAAGCGGGAGACAACAGCGAGAAAGGAAAGAAACAAGGAGAGTAATTGAGTTGAAAGGGGACCGTTCTACACACAGCTAGTGTTTCTGTCTTCGGTGGCGGGTGAGGTCCTGCGGGTGGGAGAATCGTTCGCTACATAGGCTGCATTGAATGGGCAGATTAGTCCTCTGGTCCTTTCGCAGTCGTTTGCCTCGAGTACAATTATGGCGGTTAAAACCAGCCTGACTCTTCATGCAGCGATCACAGGTCGAGCAATGGTGCTGGCAGCAGTCCAAATTCAGGCTGCATCTCGTTGAAACAGCTGGTATTTCGTCCGATGTCTGACGCTCCACACAACGATGAACTGCAAAACCACCAGCGCTTTGAAACCAGCGGTCACAAACTCCACAGTGACGAGCCCCAGGCTGCTGGGCAACAGGTAAGGACCGTACAGCAGAGCACTTGTGACGGTGAATCCCACGAGCAGTGAATGATCGGTTGCAAACCTTGCAGGTGACTTTGTTGTTGTTGCACTCCACGAGATCATCCGGAGTCTTTGCAATTGCCTCGCGCCACACACACATACACACACACACCATTGGACGCCCATCGCCGGAGGCGATGATAACGATGCTACAGCAGAAGCCATAGCAGCTTGTGCTGGGATTGCACCATTCAACAGCTTGCAAGGCTGAAGAATTGACCGCCACTATTCAGCCTGGTCTACACCACACAGCTCTGAAGTTGCTTTTTCTGGCCAGTGAATCCCTACCTTTTGGTCTTTTTCATATATTTTCCGCACACACATCACACCACATACTCCGGCATGCACTGGCTATTGGTAACCACCCAGGAGAATGAAAGAAAAGTCAGGAGGAGTCTGAGAAAGAGAAGAAAGAAGTGTGTGACCATAATCGTCGGGAATCGAACCCGCAACCTCTCGATTGGAAATCGCTGCACATACCACTGCACCATATGGGACACACACACACACACACACACACACACACACACACACACACACACACACACACACCACACACATACATACACACACACATACACACATACACCCACACCCACACACACACATACACACCACTCATATACACACACACATACACACTCACACACACGTGCGCCTCACCGTGGAACAAACAAATGTGGGGACAACCACAGCAAGAAAACGCAGAAACACCATGAATACCTGTTTGATCCGTGAAGCCTGGGCACAGGGTCAGGTTAGTAGGGTGTTGTGTACTGTTAACACATGAACATTGCTGAGTCAAATTTGAAGGCCAGTCCGGATATCCTAGACAAGTGTAGGTAAGCAATTGCCGTGTTTGCGGGTGTGTCTGGCATGGTGCGCATGGAGTCCAGTCAGACCAAACTGCTTTCTCGCCTACATAAGAACACAGACCGTACCAAAGAGAAATCAATTAATACCATTTTCTAAGGAAAAAAGGGGGAATCATATTGGTGTGTTCAAACATTGGTACGACTCTTCCTACGCCATGTCTACTTGTTACGGAAGCCGTAGTGGTCTTGCAGCTCTCTTCTGCACCAAACAAAACAAATTCATCACGCTCCGCACTATTTCGCCCCAGGGAGCGTATCTTTTTCTGGAGTTCGCACTGGCCTACATCGTTTGTGCGAGCATTTGTCAAGACTGCAAGCTCGGGTATAAGAATCCTGGTATCTTCCGTGAATTCGAAATGCTGAAGTTGACGATGGCAAGAACAAAGTGTTCTAAAATTCCTTTAAAAAGCGCTACATGTGGCGCATGTTGCTGCGAAGGTAGCAGGTCTGAAAACACCAACAAAATCAGCGAAACGCTCGTCAAGAAAAGAAGCTGCTTACCCCCCCCCCCCCTCTACCCTGCTGGAAGGTCGTTACGGTGTACTTCAACCTGGGGGAATGGACCGCTTGAAGTTTCATGACCTGAATTTGAACGCGTGTCTTGTTCAGCATCTTATTGAGTACTGAAGGGTCAGCCTCAAAACTCTGGTGAAGACGTCGACTTCAGCGACATGTGCAGCGAAGTTGGACGCCACAAACTCAAGCTTAGTCTGTCGACAAGGCTCTGCCTCTAGCTGATTTCTTTGCTTCGAGTGGACAAAATATAATTGAAAAATCGCTCTCGGAAGCGACAATTGTAATGACGCGAAGGAAGTACATCAACAACGTACGTGTGCCTAGATCTTCTTCATGTCGCATGCTTTGTCCATAACTTTGGGGTAGGATAAGTTGAAAATGTGGGTGTTCATTAGACTGGGTATCACGATGAATGTGTAGTCAAGTTCACACCATTCTGGATTAAGACTTAAATGTGTAACACACACACACACACACGCACACACACACACACACCTGTTCCTGTTCCTGTTCCTGTTCAGCACTGCCACAAGGGCCACGTGGCTCTCCTTAAGAGAGAACCGGGGAGGAGGGAGGCCGCTGGCATCTGTGTCGGGTGAGGTCGCTCCCGCGGCGAAAACGGCGGCCACAGCCGGGGCAGGACCATTCAAATGTCAATCGTGTTGCTGCAGTCGGGCGATGCGCACTACGGTGGCATTTGTGTCGTGATCTGTCAGACGGTCTGGCGAAACAGCGGTCACATGCGGGGCAGTGAGCTGCGCAACAGTCCCTTGCAATAGCTTGGGGATGGTCTTCACGGGGCTGAGGATCATGGGGTGTGCATTTATGCCGCGATAGCCCACCACGGCTGCGTAGCCACCGTTGACATTGGGGACATTGCACTGCACCGCGCTGCTCTGCTATGGGCTTGGCCCTTTCATCCAAGCACTTGTGACGGCGCTTGTCCGAAGGCCTGCCAAATACGCGTCGGCAGACAAGACATTGCACACTACGCACTGGTGACGAAGCTGGTTCCAGCTCACGGTAGATGTTCCTCCACCCTGGTCGTGACTGGGTATCTTCTGGCCAAGAGTCCTGTACGTCACATCGCTGTAGATCCGGACGCAGAGCGTCTCGCCAGCGCTTTCGTGGGCCGCATGCAGGTCGGGTCTCCGGTCGGCAGCCGAACAGAACAACCCGGGGTGTCCGTTCCATATCCATGCGCATAACGTGGCCAAACCATTCCAAACGGCGTTGCACAATCCGGTCCTTGATGGGCAGGGGTCTGGCATCATTCCACTGCTCCAGGATGGTGGTGTTGCTGATGTGGAAGTCCCAGACGTCAGAGCGTGACACACCCATGATGGTGCGGAGGCATCTCATGTAAAAAGATGACAGCTTGGCAATATCGGCTTGGAGTGGTACCCAGCACTCAGACGCATACAGCAGCAAGCTCAGCACACACGCCTCAAACACTGTTCGCTTGGTGGCCAGCGTTAGATTGTTATCCCGAAACACTGGGCGACTCAGAACGCCAAAGGCACGTGATGCAGCAGCTATCCTGGACTCGATATCCCGGGAGCAGCGGCCATCAGCGTGGATATTAGTTCCGAGGTAGCGAAACTCAGAGACCACCTCCACCGCATGGCCATTCAACATCAGCGGGCGCACATCCTCTTCAGTAACATGATGACCGGTGACCATGAGCTTGGTTTTCTCTAGGTTAACTTTGAGACCGAATGCACCTGCCACCTCAACAAATGCCGTTAGGCAAGTCTCTATTGCCTCCCGACGCGTGGCCATCAGGGCAGAGTCATCTGCAAATTGGCAGTCAAGGATGGAACGTCTAGTGTCTGTGCGGTGTCGTCGGAAGAACAGACGTTGCCTTGCATTAGTATGAATCGGAACACCAGCTCCGGGGATATCTGCGACGCGGGCATACCACCGTTGGAAGACTGCCCACATGAAGATGTTAAATAATGTGGGAGCCATGGAGCAACCTTGACGGAGGCCATTCCTCACAGCAAATGGATCGAGTCTATCACCATCAACGCAAATTGTAGCCTGCATAGAGGTGTGGAAGGACTGAACAATGGATAGGAGACGGGGAGGAACACCAGCTTTCTCCAGTACGCGCCACAGGCAATCCCGACTGACAGAGTCATAAGCCTTGCGGAGGTCGATGAACAGGAGGAAAGCTTTCCCTCGATGTTCAAATGCCTTCTCCACCATCTGGCGGACCACAAATATCATATCCGTACAGGATCGCCCTCGTCGAAAACCACACTGAGTGTCTGGTAAGAAGGACTCAGCCATAGATTGCAGGCGAGTCTGCACAATGCGGGCAAGTACTTTACCGGCAACATCCAAGAGGGAAATGCCTCGCCAATTATCGCAGCGACTCAGGTCGCCTTTCTTGGGAATGGGTATAAGATTACAGTCGACCCATTCCTGCGGTACTGTGCCATCATTCCAGACGCGATGGAGGAGTTCCAACAGAGACTCACTGAACCTCTGGCCACTGTACTTGATCATCTCCGGTAGGATGCCTGACTCACCGGCCGCCTTTCCATTGCGTAGTTTGCTTATAGCTCGCTGTAGCTCCTCAGCAGTTGGCAGGTCATCGAGCTCTGGGACTGGATCCCTGGCCTCTAGCTGATCAATCTCCTCTGGGTCAAACACGGACGCGACATTAAGTATGTTGGCAAAGTGCCGTCGCCACTGCGTACCCTGCTCTGCTCGAGACTTGCATATGTTGTTGTTCAGATCACGTATAGGCACAGTTGCCTTACTGCGCAAGCCTTGCCGTGCGGCCTGCATATCGTGAATACAAGACCATACGTGGGCTGAGCTGAAACGTGACTGTTCCAACTCCGCTGCCTTGGCCACGAACCAGTCATTTTTCGCCCTTCGCACAGCGGCGCGGGCCTCTCCTCGAGCCCTCCGGAATTCTACCAGTACTGGATTGTTGGACTGGCCAGTCTTGATCCATCGGGAGTACAACTCGTTCCGTCTGGCAAGTAGAGGTTGGATGATTTCCCGGCTGTCCACGTACCAGTCTGGTTGCCTGCGTTTGCTACGGCCGAGGACATCCCCTGCCGCTTCAGTAAGCGTGTCACGGAGAACATGCCAATGCTCCCCAGTAGTGGTGATGGGTGATGATAACTTCCCATTCAATACTGTCTCCGTCTTGGTCTGATATTCCCGGATCAACTCGCAGTCTACGTTTCTTCCCCGAGCCAGTGTATCACGGAACTTGGAGACATCAAACCTCGGCACTCCATGTTTAGTTGGTCTACGGTGTCTTTGAATAAAACCGATCCGGTAGCGCATGGCGACCATTGCGTGGTCCGTACCACACTCAGCACTGTGTATAACCTGTGAGTCCAAACATCGTTGCCAGTGATTTCTTGGAATAATGACGTAGTCAATGCAATGCTGTGTTTTGGTGCGGGGGTGTTGCCAAGTCCATCGTGTGTCGTATTCTTTCTGGAACCAAGTATTACAAATCATTGCCTCATTTGTGAGCAAGAAACTCATCAGCTCCTGTCCAGAAGAATTTGCCACTCCATGTCCAAACGGGCCACGCACGTAACTCCAGTCATCGTCAGCATGTAAACGTGTACCCACACGCGCGTTGAAATCTCCCAGTAGAATGTACTGTTCAGTTGCTGGGACGCCAGTGATAGCTTGTTGAAGGGCGCCATAGAAGGACTCCTTCAGGGTCTTCGAGCTACTGAAAGTTGGAGCATACGCACTCATCACTGTCACCCAGACGCTGTCACCGTCCTGGAGAGTAAATAGTAGTCGAGCTGACACCAAACGTGATCCGTGGGCTGTCCATTGACAGCCGCCAGCACGCCACGCTTCGATCGCGTCGCCGTTCAAAACAATACAAACACCTTCGCCACGACGGAAAGAAATTTCGCCAGCATTATTGTCATCGCGAGGGACTGGTCGTCCTGAGGCCAGCACAACAGCTCCCTCGACTGGATATACACCCTCGCCAAACCAGTGAGTCTCCTGTAGGCCAGCGACATCAACTCTCAAACGTAATAATTGCGCACACACACACACACACACACGCACGCACACACACACACACGCACGCACGCACGCACGCACGCACACACACACACACACACACACGCGTGCACACACACACACACACGTGGAGCACAGGACGCACAGCCTCAAAGAACATGACAATGTGCCGCAGGCCTCATATCACTGTCAAGTCAAATCTGACATTACCTCTGTGTGCGCTGGGACAGAATACTGGGCTTTTTTGAATCGTCTCATTAAAGACACGATGGAGATTGACTGCATTTCTGCTACACCCTTGCAACTGAACAAAGGCCTCAAGCTGAACATACCGAAGACAAAAAACAGCGTATGTAAACAATTTTCAACTGTTAAAATCATTTCAATCATCACCCATCACCACTCTCGAATGCTGCTGCTCATAAAATATTCGTTAACAAAACAGTCTTTGTACTGAGTGTTAAACTTACTCTTTTCATTGCGTAAAAAAGTTTGCTTGAATGTCTGTTTTACTGATTTTTCTGTACCCATGGTAACATAACACACTCAAGACCAAGACACAGATGTACATATAGCTGCAGACAATCTTTCTTGAAAAATTGAAAAAATTTGTTTCCAATGCACGGGTCGAAATGTTTCAGGAGTACAATCAGACCTCGCATAACCGCACACATCCGTTTCCCACAAAATATCCGGATAGGCAAGGGAACCGCATAATCGAACACGCATACTGTATGTATGCATGAGATATGCTGTAAACTTCGGTAACCAACGATTTTCTTCCGGATGGTGAGGGATCCGGATAAAAGAGAACCGGATAAGCGAGGACTGACTGTACCGTCGTGTTTACAGCCTATCAGCGTGCCAATCTCAATCAGCTAGCATGCTCACTGTGATTCAGCTCTCAGGCCTGCTCCCTGTCATTCACTCCATAGGGATGTCCAGTCACCGGGACAATGGGACCATCCCATTTGAAAATGGAAATAGGCCAGGAGGCGCTTCAAGTCCAGGCTTCAATTCGAACTCGCATTCTAACTATTGCACAGAGACATTAGCAGACTGCCTCCAACGACTGTGAGACTGTCCTGTAGGAATCCTAACACACCAGGTGGAATATTTCAACTGCACGGGAACAGCGCCACCGCGCCTCCACTCTGTACGTACACGAATTATGAACTCCTGATCTTGCGGCAGACCTGAAATGACAACACTACGCACCCAGGCCTGGAATAGAACGGAACAGCACGCACACGCGCACGCACCCACACACACACACACAACAGGGCATCAGTTAGCCATTCAGGGTGTTCTCGGTGTGGATGGAAGGGATGATGACAAATATAAATAATAGGATCCACGTTGACATCGCTTGAATGTTCAGAAACATACAAACTAGCCTTCACATCCGCAGGCCACCACTATGCCTGTTCACCTGACAATAGCATGGATATCGGCTTAGCAAAGAGTGCAGATTTCGGCGTGCTAAAACAAGAACACTGGCTTCAGAATTGATGGAGGGTGGCCAGACACGTGGGACCAGACACGTTGGAAATGAATAGGCAGGAGAGTGGGAATGATGGTAAAATCATACTGGAAGGGGTGAGATGGTGTGGAGTGCATGTGTGTTAGTTAATACTTCTCTCTTACCACCCTAGGTGTATTTCCCCTGCGTAGCAGCCATTGCTTGCGGTGGCTCTTCCTGATGATAATCGCTTGAAGATCAATTTAAACGAACTTTAAAAAAAGATACTTCTGTATTGAAATCTCTGTTTTTTTCTAACCCCTTTTGAGCAGTCCAAGGAGATGCATGCAGTACAACATGTCTCCCATTTTTCTCTCTATTTCTCACTTTTTGGCCTTGCAATATTTAGATGATATTGTGACTCAACGAGGTGTTTTTTCCTCTTCCCTCCATTAAACCCCTTGTCCTTGGCAGCATGGCACAGATCAAGTTGCATGCGGCTACAGTGCACCAATCAGCTGCGACAATTAGCACAACAATGATACTTGGTCCGCGTCAGCAATATTGTCGCTTATCTTTCGACAATTTGAACTTAGACTTTGGACATGAACGCGTGCACTTGAAGTGATAAAACTTGGTACGATGGACGGTTAGGTATAGAATGACAACTAGATGTAAGGAATTTATTGTCCAAGGAAGGGTTCCTACTTTTTTCGGTCCTCTTCGTCGCTGCTCTCGACGTTGGTGACAAATAGTTTTGCTCGGGTTCGACTCTCTTGCTTTTGCAAGCTCATCTCTCTTCCTCTCCGCTGCCTGGCTATTTTCTAAACAGAAGTCGATCGGGACGGTCGCCTTCTCTATAGGACTTCGCGTGGGCAGTACGACAGCCTGTGTGGTTCAAATCAGACGCCGTTCTTTGCAAGATTTATTTTGAACGACGATGACGCGTACAGTACTTGCAAATCTCCACGACACGCTGGATACTCCGAGCGTTGAGTTGGAGGTAAGGTAGCTGAGATCTCAGCTTGACGAGCGATCCCTAAGGTGAGCGATCTCGGCCGTTCAGCATAATGGAGCTGATTCTGAGTAGCCGATTACTTTCTTGTAGCTTGCGCTGCTCTTGCCTGCACAGCGTAACAAGATAATCTATTTAGATTCGGCGCTGTATCAATCAGAATCACCCACCCGTCGCTCTCGAAATCCACTCGAACTGTAGCTAGACCTTTCAGGTACTAGTAAACTAACTTACTAACCAAAATTGGGATGAAATGGGCTGCCGAGTGAGCTTTGGCGACATATAAACAAAGCTGAAAGATAAGCGACAATATCGCTCACGCGGACCAAGTAATTAAACTGACCGGTATAGGGAGTTGCGGGTCCATCACTGTTCCCTTGTCATAGACGCTTTGCCTGGACATGGTCAAGGTGATGTCATGATAAGAGACCCACAAAGGCACTGTATCATTGAGTGGCTTGCTGCTGCTAGCTGACGTGACGGAAAGGATGTAGGTTGTGAGATCAGGGTTGGATCCATTCTGTGGTATGCTATGGTTGCATTGCACACTGCTGGTATTGCGGTATTCACATAGGAAATGTCCAATGCGAGGCTTGTCCTGCTCCGAAACTACAAAACACAGCAAACACAGCGGACAGTAGACACACACAACAGAGCACACACAGACAGTAGACGCCCACAACACAGCAAACACAGCGGACAATAGACACACACAACAGAGCACGCACAGCACATACAAACAGTAGACATACCGGCACAACAGAGCACACACAGACAGTAGACATACACAATACAGCACATACACAGACAGTAGACACTAACGATGTAGAGAATATTTGAAATATTTGAATGTTCTAGAAGACTGATACCATTTTGATGACTGCCTACTACAAAACACTCATCCTCACCCACACACCTTGAACCTTGGACTAATCCTCACATACACAACCCACTCACCCACACATCTTGGGCCTTGGACTTTCCCATTGCCAAAAGGCAATGATAGCAAAAGGACTAATTCGGCCGCAATAGGCGGAACGGTTCGTGGGGCTTGAGTTTGCCGGGGCGAAGGCAGGTCTTCCTGCATGTACAGCAAAATTCTGGCTCGGTTGTTACTTTTGTCACTACCATCCACTGGTGTCACTGATTTCATTGACACTGATACTGATGCGGTCTCCCCGGCACTGCTATCGTGGGTGATGAAAGAATAGGCTCTGGCTCTTGTGGAGCCGACATGGCAAAGCCAACGAGGATGATATGACCGGCGGTGAGAAGGCAAATGATTATCTAGATAGATTAAGTTAAGAGCAGTGCTTTAGCAGACGGCTACCACGACCAGGCCGAACGGATGCATATATTACACTACGGCCATATGTACTTCACGCAGACTAGTTGCTCTGCTCTCGACTACAGTTTCAAAACCTAGCATCATCAGCAGCTTGGTCTAGGTTTCCTCTAGCAAACCCTGCCGATGTATCCAGCACAATCTATATTTTGCAGTGCCTAGCCATGATTGTGAACATACAGGCTGTTATCCTATCACAAACTCATAATCAAAAGTTTATTGGGAACGATCTGCCATTGCATATCTATGCAAAATGCCTAGATTTACGAAATAGTGGTAGCGACCTCGGTGATATCTTTTATAAGGAAGTTGGAAGTCAAGTATAAAGTCGGGTCTGCGGGAAAAGCCCAAGCACCAATGTGGGGAGCAACCAGCCTTCCTATGCCTTGATCTACTGACATTTTCCAATGTCTGCGCATTCACACTCATCATTTGCAAATGCAAAAGAGCATTGCCCAAGCACAAAATAGGCATGCAGCATACAGAGAAATTCATAAAATCTTCAATGCGCTCAAAACAAAACACAGCCCCCCCCCCCAGCAATATCGTGTTTGGCAAGAAAGTTAGTTGATTATGTAGCATTGTTGAGCGCCTTTGAAACTTACGACAACAATGCTCGGTACTGCACCAGTCGGAATAACAACCTGACACATGACAGCCTGGACACAGGACAAGCACACAAATACAATGAGATATGCCGTTGTTAAAATTACAAGCATGCACACCTTTGCCTTCAAATCATCTTCACTCAAAGTGTCGAGGGATGGAACGGGACGCCACATACAAACAAGTTGTAAAAGCAGCAGCAACTTTTAAACTTTTAAAAACTCTTCACACACACACACACACACGCGCATGCGCAAGCACACCCACCCATGCACACACACACACACACACACACACACACACACACACACACACACACACACACACACACCCATGCAAACACAAACACCCACACACACGCACAACCATGCACACACGCGCACACGTGTTTACTTGCATGCAATACGTATGGCAAACCTGAGTCACGGGAAATTCCTAGTCACGGACCGGTCCCAACCAGCGCAGATAAGAAGAGTCCCACTGTAATGGCCAAGTATATCCCAACTTCTCCTCAGGTTGCATGTTACATGTATGTATTTAGAAGATTAAAACAAGTACAGTACCAGCACCCTTATATACCATAGTCGAAAAATGCAGGAAGCAGTTTTCAGTAGGATCACCATGAAAAGCTTCAGTACAGAAAATCCTGAAAATTGACCTCTTGTCTAGGTACTGAGTATCATTGTTATCCTCTGTGTGTGTGTGTGTGTGTGTGTGTGTGTGTATGTGTGTATGCGTGAGTCAACAGCTTTGATAAAGTGATTGTGTTTACCCCTCTTGTTTTCTCATCATTGTGTTGCTTTTAATTTTTAATCTTGCCCGTCAAAGAGGCTGTTGTAACAAGTCAAAAAAGAATAAAAGAAAATTGACCTCTTCGAACGTCTGTACATGTATTCCCATGCAACATCATGTCTAAATATGCAATCCTGACGACTATGGCTATGGGAGTCTGCAACAAACAAGCAAGAACTGATGGCACTAGAGGCAGCTACACATGTTTCTTACTTTGAAGAACTATTTTTTCAGTAAGAGATACGCTTGCATCGCTGCTCCTCTCCCTGGGCAGAGGATCTGGTAATATCTGAAAGGGATGCAAAGCAGAAAATAGACAGAGAAGCAACTTTAGTACGCAGTATCATTTTTTTGTCATCTTCTTTCACCTCGACTAGCGATACGCCAGCAGATGAAAACTCAGCGGGGTCTCAGGGCAGTGGTATGACCGTGGGTCCGGGGTTTCCCCGCGAGAAAAGAACCGGATTTTTCGGCCAACAGGGCACATTTCAGTGCTCTACGGGCACTCTGGGCGGACCAGCCTGGACGAAAAGTGGTACGACCATGGTGTCACTCAGTGTGTGGTCGTACCAGGTGTGATGCCCCTGGCAATACAGAGCCAAGTTACGGGTTGCGTTGTTTTAATGCCAAACCCAGGTTAGCGAAAATATAACAATTACGTTTCCGGAGTAAAAGCCACCTGACTATGACGTATAACCTGCATTATTTGCAGAACATCTCCTGGAAATCTGCCTTCTGAACATGCCTTCCCAACATAAGTACTGAAGGAAAGCCTGAACATTTCATACTAAACCAAATTCCTCAAATGAAACACAGCCACCGCCATTCCCTGAAGACATACCGTCAAGTATAGTGTTGTAAA